AAATGTCACCTCTGTGAAGGTCATATATGTATCAAAATTATATCTTTATAATGGTTATGTATATATAACACACCTGTCTTTCCAACAAACACTTCTCTATAATATTAACACGTCATGACACACATTCCACAATAAAGTTATCTGTAGGTAGCACCTCTATATATAGGTCATCTCTGGTTGAAAAACACCTCTATATAAGGGGCACCTCTGTATCTGTCCAGTATTAACCGGGGCGTGCATTGTATGTGTTTACAGGATATTGGTTGTTGGAGATGTGTCAAAAATGTACACGTTTCTGCAAGATACAGGAATGAAAAAGTCAGGTTTGTACATATTACAAAGAGGTTACCGTTATGTCAAAGCGTCTAATATATACAGGAACGAAAATATCCGGTATGTACGTATTACAGGGAAGGTACCGTTATGTCAAATCGTCCAGTATATACAGGAACGAAAATATCCGGTATGTACGTATTACAGGGAAGGTACCGTTATGTCAAATCGTCCAGTATATACAGGAACGAAAATATCCGGTATGTACGTATTACAGGGAAGGTACCGTTATGTCAAATCGTCCAATATATACAGGACAGAAATATCCGGTATGTACGTATTACAGGGAAGGTACCGTTATGTCAAAGGGTGCAGTATATACAGGACGGAAATATCCGGTATGTACGTATTACAGGGAAGGTACCGTTATGTCAAAGGGTCCAGTATATACAGGACGGAAATATCCGGTATGTACGTATTACAGGGAAGGTACCGTTATGTCAAAGGGTGCAGTATATACAGGACGGAAATATCCGGTATGTACGTATTACAGGGAAGGTACCGTTATGTCAAAGGGTCCAGTATATACAGGACGGAAATATCCGGTATGTACGTATTACAGGGAAGGTACCGTTATGTCAAAGAGTACGGTATATACAGGACGGAAATATCCGGTATGTACGTATTACAGGGAAGGTACCGTTATGTCAAAGCGTCCAGTATATACAGGAATGAAAATGTCTGGTATGTACGTATTACAGGGATGGGTAACATACAGGACCGAATATACCCGATAAGGGAGAGTTCTGAAATGAACAAGTGTCTGTAATGTACCTGCATGACTTAAAAAATCTTAGTTTGAATTTGAAAAAGTATCACTGAATTCCCAAGTGCTTGTTTTTACAATGTTAATACGAAGTAAGCGAAAGTGGTCAGTCGCATTAATTCCATAAATCCAGAAGAGTTACGTCCCTTCCCATCCTTATACTGAAAACTTTAAATTCCATAAACAACTCCTATTTTTATTTATAAACTAGAAAACAGTCGAAAGTATATAGGTACGGAATATTGCTTTTGTTTATCATTATTTACCTTTTCCTGCTGGAAAAAATAATATCGTGATAGATGTTTTTTAAGATGGTCCGATGAAAGGCCATAAGGTCGTAAAAGTGGACGTTAAACCCTTTAAATAAATGTCTAGATAACTAAATAAATAAATAAATATAAGCTATAATAAACATTTTGGAAAAGTGTCACACATTTAAAAACACAAAGTGCATCAATCCAATATATATATTAAAATGTCTAACCTTACAAAATCTAGGTGACACTACATATACATTTGAATTTTCAATATTAGAATAACCACAAGACATTTTCTACTGTCATCTCTAACAAAAGGAATACCAGTCGATATCATAATGCTCTAACCAACCAGAAAAGTTATAAATATAGTTTCAGGTAAATAAGCATGAATAAATTACGATAGTTTTTCCTTGTCAAATCAGACTTACGAAACACACAATAATAATAATAATTATAATAATAATAATAATAACTATAATAATAATAAACCACCTTAGCAGTGTATATTGTAGGTTTTCAATATTAAAAGAGAGCTAGGAAAATTACTTAAAAAACAACATCGACTAACGATCAAGCTACATTATATAGCTTTTCTGATTTGTTAACGTTGAACTGAATGTAGAGCAACAATTAAGATATGTTAGTTGATATTCTTATGAAGGCAATTATAGTCATAGTTTCAGCTTCAAGATAAAGAAATGAGTTGACATCGGAATTTTAAAACCCCGCCCTCTCTCCCTAACACAGCGACTAGCTAGCGTACATCCCGACACCCCCGGGACTTACCACTCACAAGTTACACACCTTTCCCTGTCCCTAACACAAACACACCTGAGTAAGTCCACTTCTTGGCCTCATTATGGCCGACATTAATTACCAATAATCAAGGACACCTTCGGGAAGAAAACAGGCTCAAAATAACAAACAACCAGTCACTTCAGTGTAATTATCATTATCATCTCCGCCCGACTAGGTAAATGTTTTTAAAACCCAGACATATTTTAACAGACGGGTCAATTCTATACAACAAATTCAGAAAATTGCAATTTTATCAAACTGTGCTCAGTAGCTGACACGAGCCTCTTTCATATGTAATTTCCTCTGCTCATAGAACAGTGTATAAATGGCCGATGTTCCACCAAACTTCATGCAGTATCATTTACCACTCACACTGTGTAGAACAGTATATATACCGACAAAAACTTCTATCCTCGGCCAAACCTATACTCTGAAGAGATTTCAACAACCGACAAAGGTAAATAGGTTTCTTACAAATTCAAATTTATTTTAAGATTTACAACAATTAACTTTTTTCACTATTTAACTAAATTATTTTTATTTGAATTCCTAAATTTTGAAAACTGGAATTTTTGTAAACACAGACTTGAATTCCTTTATTATTTCCGATCGAAAAGAATCTAATTTCTTTGTATGAATTTTAAATTGAAGAAAAAAATAATTATCTTGATGGTCAAATGTGAAAATACATTTAAATTCGAAAATGTTATCAAATTTCAAGTTCAAAATAAATATCCAGTAAAACTATTTCATGAATGAAAATTTATATCTGGTTATCAAGTTGATTGACTTAATCAGTTCCAAGTGAAAATAAGTACAAACGACGAATGATATCTTACGGAATTATTGAGGCGATACCGTAACATTTTTGCCGCTTCGAACGATACGTTATAAGGGAGATAACTCGATCAAAACAGAACGTCTTCACCGCCTCTTCAATCTACAAACTTAAAATGTTCTTAAGATAAAATCATTTAATTCAAGTCACTGCTGACAGTTTAATGACATTTTCATTGGCAATGTATCATTGATCACATTTTAAATGGAATGTGAAAAAATAGAATTGTTATTTCTCTTTAAATATATCTGTAGCAAAAACATTCTTTTATGAAATTCTTTCCTAGAGTAAAGTTATTTCGTTTCAATTTTTCAAACCAAATTTCAGGTAAATACTATTTTCTTTTAATGGAAAATGAGAAAAGAATTTCTCGCAAAATCCAGCAATCGGTTTAATCCTGATAATTACATGTGTATGAATGCTTCCTGCTAAGTGTGAGTATGTTTGAATATATAAAACAATTAGAATTATCAATAAACACAATTAGACAGGGAAATTAACACCTCTGTCAATCTGTCCAGCCAATCATTAACGCTAAGACAATACGTCCCTAATCTTACCTCTCTCAGATATCACCTGATTTATACCTCCCTAATTAGCTTTAATTAATCTCTTGGTGATGTAGCGCAGACCCACAAATATATGTTTATAAATTATCCTTTAAAATTAGCATAAAAAGGTGTCGAAATTGTTTCCGTTCATTTACATTACAATGGTCTGCTCCTCTTTTAGAATATAAGTTAAGGGGAGGTTACCCCTGCATTTAAATATTGTTAGCACATTGTAACAGGAAAATTTTACTGCGTAACTTCTGATCTGTAATGGCGTTTGTCTACAATTCTATATATATCATACTTAAGTAAGGAAAAGCAACTGACTTATCGATAATCACTATTGTTTATCGACACGTCGATGTGACTTCTAATTGTTACGCACTTGAGGATTCAAGGCAATGGTACAACGAAAGCAGTACCATTAACAGGAATCATTCTAACACTCCACAACCTCTACGTTCTAATAACATGTATCCTACGTACTGATTTTACGAAAGGAAAAATCATATGTTTATGTCCTATAAGAGATTTATAAAACTTGTTTCGGCGAACCTTTCCGCCAGATTTTAAAAAAATGGCATGAAAATTCCGACATTGAAAATATGTAAATAGAATTCTTTATTTCAACTTTCGAAACCTGATACAGTTCCGACACTCCAACTATGAACTGTTTTACAATAACTTTTAATTTTTTTTTGTTTTGTTTTGTTGATGGCTTCTCTATATCTGGTCTTAATCTATCTAAAATATTTTCTTTTAAGAAACAAGTTTTTTTTTTGGTAATTTATAATTCCACCCATGGGGCTGTTATATAGAATTAACTACACGATACTGACTATACCCGGGACAGTACGGCCTTATCTGACGTAGATTTACCTCTACACGACACAACTAACTGGTTTAGGATCAAAGTCGGATCAATCCCTACCCCACGGGGACTGGTGGACAATTGTAGTAGGTCATTGTTACTGCTAGTTACAGTGCGATCCCGGGGGTGGGGCTATTTGTCCATACTGATGATCTTTAGTAGACGTCAATAGAATCGATAATCTGGTAGATGACGACGATGATAGGTGATACGCCATTGTAAGGGACAATTAAGATACGAATCCCGGGGGTGGGGCCGTTTGTCCGTCTGATTGTCATACTGTACGTGGATTATAATGTCACGGGCAGTATTGCACGGTCTGGTCAGTAGGATTACAGGACAATCTGACCAGCTATATAAAGGACCCTGTAACACTGAGTGGTCAGTCTTACTTTCCTTCTCATGCCACTAAGGTCCTGGTTACTTATCTCCGCAACAGATTGAGACGTTACACATGGTATACAATTTAGAAAAAAATTGAAAATCAAATATTTGAACACGGAGCACAATACAATATACATATATTTTTATATATATCTTAGCACTGATGTTTTGCATTGTTTTGTTTACAGAATATTACAGAATGGATTTCTCCGATAATAGTTTTGGGGTATGTAGTCTCTTAGTAAACTTTTTTGAAAATTACATTGTATTGGTTCCAAGAAATTAAAAGCATTTACAATTAAATAAATCTTCATTAACACTAATTATTGTCAATATTTTAGTATAAATAATGTCATTTTGTATTCTTAAAAAACGGAAAAAAATACACTTCAGAAAAATCGCTGGTGACGAATCACGTGGTATTAATAAAAAGATGAATAATGGTTTAATACCGATGTGATTTACATATAAGTAAATGTGTGACGTCATCTTCACTTTTATAGCTAGAGTTCAGACCCATGGCTGTGTTGAAGTTCGGCGATGATGAAGAGGTCATGGACTTGTCAGAAATCCTCACCCCTCGGGCTAAGGACTCTCCCCTCCCCCGGGCGAAATCTGTACCTCCCCCGATCCTGGATGACGAAGACTCAGGACTTGGAATGGAGTTCGTAAGTAACTTGAATGCAATATTAATCACAATACTGTCAAAGATATACAACGTGTGTTTTCGTGACTCAAGAAACATCTGATACCATGCCATTAATGGTGAAAAGGAAAAAAACTATATAAACATGATATTGATAATTAGTGAATTAGATACGATGATGACAATAATGTTTGGGCTTTTATTTTTAGGATGAATTTCAAGAAAATAAGAAATTATCGATCCAGAACGAGACTCCGTGTCAGTTACAGACTCCAAATACAAAACAGGTAAGTCTGATAATATCAATAACATTTATTTGGTGGGTTAAAATTTCATTCCCTTACTGTCATGCCATTGATTAAAAAATTTATCTTGAAAAAAAATTAGAAATCCAGGTATGCATTTTGAGGATTTAAATTAACATGTTAAACCTCATTATGTGTGATAAGGCGTATACATGTACAGCCGAACTTCGTTATTTCGAAGTCGGCGGGACCCGACGTTCAGAAAACTTCGAGTTATCTCAGTACTTCATTTAAGAGAGATTTAATGTTTGGTGAAAAGGTTGGCCGGGACAAATAAAAAAAACCTTCGAATTAAACGGTATTTTCCAGTGATACGAGTTCGAGATAACGAGGTGGGACTGTATATGAGTTGTCATTCATGTTACAAACAAACACTATAAGCAGTTTTCATTTTGATGAGATTCCGTTAACTTCACAGTGTCACATTACATAAGTGATAAAGAGAAAATAAGCTCTTAGAAGATTTATTTCGATATTTACTGTCCTTTGGTTGCAAATGAAATTTTTAAATTAACAAGAAATAACATATTTCTGTTTTCCAGTCCTATAGCGTACGTAGGTCTCTGTTTGAGAAGTCCAAGCGTCTCTTTGACGGAGACGACGATGGATCCATCACCAAGAAACCAAGGCAATCACAGAGACAAATTACCTCATCGTCACGTGCTCTGACCAAGTCATTGTCATTTGGGGTAAGCAGACTACAGAACTAAGTTAATTTTCATAAATTCATTCGTAAGTGAAAATTTGTAATAATATGATTTCACTTGAAATCTCACTTGCATGCATCGTAAATAATAAAACAAATTACGATCAAGAAAAACCATTGATTACAACATCTAACACCGATTGTCTTTTCATTGTAGGATCAACCTTTCGAAAATTCATCTCGAGACGTCATTTCCGCTGTTGAGCGATTGGTCGAGGAAGAGAATCTGACAGGAAATGGGGAAACCACATACATTTTACCCACAATTCCTGGCAAACACTCTGACCTCAAAAGCATCACACCGAAGATTATGGCCGACGTTTTGGAAGGGCGGTATGATGACGTCATCAACAGCTATCGCATCATCGATTGTAGATACCCTTACGAGTATGAGGGTGGTCACATCAAGGTATGTTATGACATGATACAATTTTAATAAAATAATGCAATTTTAATGTTTAATTTTTGTTCAGTCTAATTACTTTTTCGCGTTTTACTGAGTTCAGGCCTAAGTTTACTTATTTAAAGCATTTTTTTCTCCCCAGAACGCTGAAAATTTATTCACCCGTGACCACATCCAGGATATTTTAAGGTCGCGCAAATGTGAAGAGGGCGAAAGGCATATCCTCATATTTCACTGCGAATTCTCTTCAGAAAGGGGCCCGAAAATGTAAGTAAATTCTTTGATTTCTTGAGTCAGTTTTAATAATGACCTTCGGAATTGGAACACTCTTTGATTTCTTAAACTTTGAAACAATTATTTCCAAAATAGGAAGAGGTAACCCTTTTGATTACATGATTCTTTATCTGCCGAATCTATTTGCTAAGGTCCCGATTCCTCCGAAGTCAAGACAGAGAAATGAACACCTGCCGATACCCATTTTTGAATTTCCCGGAAGTGTATTTGTTGCATGATGGCTACAAAAGTTTCTACCAGTCACACAAGGTGAGTAGTTTTTATCGGAAAGGCGGCATAAATGATGTATTTAGAACTCTGAGATAAAATAGACTCCATGATGTAGCAAAGGAATAATAATGGATCTAACGTGAAAACACTGTTACATTCTTCATACAAACTAAAAATATTCTCGACAAGCCCTCTCATTCAGACTGTTCAGTTCAATAAGGTTTTTTTATTCAAACATTTATTGTAACAAATCTATAAAAGTTTGACCATCATCAAAACATCAATATAACCTGTGATTCATAATTTTTTTTTTCTGACAGGAATTCTGTCAGCCGATGAGTTACAAACCCATGCTTCACGAAAACCATGCTGATGATTTACGCCACTTCCGATCCAAGTCAAAGTCCTGGTGCGCAGGCTCGAAGAAAAGAAGATCTCAGCGTTTAGCTTTTTGAATAAGTGATCAAATTAAGGACTTATGACGCAGAAACTAGTGCTATTTTGTAAAAAGAATGAACTACTTCTATTGTTAACAGAGGAACGAGGAACAGATATCAATGAATTATCAATGTAAATTTTTCTTGTTAAAATACTATTTCATGGTAATACACGTCATCGTTGGAAATTGATCACAAAAAAATTATGTAAATAAATATATTAGAAATATCTAAAGAGAGTGGTTGTTTTGAAATATCATAAACAAACGACGATCATCGAATGTTTTCTCCGAGCATGCCAAACACAGAATATTTTTTAAGAACTTCCAAAATGTTGGGATGGTTATATTTTTGTCGTATGTAAGTAAGCACAGTCATTAATTTCGATAACACCTGTCAGGCCAAGTAACACTTTATTTGTTGTTGTACACGTTTACACTTTTGTTGTTGTTGTACACGTTTACACTTTATTTGTTGTCGTACACGTTTACAGTTTATTTGTTGTTGACACGTTTACACTTTATTTGTTGTTGTACGCGTTTACACTTTATTTGTTGTTGTACACGTTTACACTTTATTTGTTGTTGTACACGTTTACACTTTTGTTGTTGTTGTACACGTTTACACTTTTGTTGTTGTTGTACACGTTTACACTTTTGTTGTTGTTGTACACGTTTACACTTTTGTTGTTGTTGTACACGTTTACACTTTATTTGTTGTTGTACACGTTTACACTTTATTTGTTGTTGTACACGTTTACACTTTATTTGTTGTTGTACACGTTTACACTTTTGTTGTTGTTGTACACGTTTACACTTTATTTGTTGTTGTACACGTTTACACTTTATTGTGTTTGTACATCAGATAACACATCAGAAAATACAAGATGTGTTTATGAAACACTATTCAGAAATGGGACATTACACCTGTACTGTGTAAGGCATGCACAATTTTTTTAAATGCAGATAAAAGGTCATGATCAAGGTCACATGGTCAAAACTTTTGCCCCGTATAGTTGTGTAAGCTACTTACAGGATATATATCTAAATATCCATATACAGGACTAGAATTATTTTCAGGTAGAAGATAAATACGGTGACTTCCATTATTGTGTACAAATGTCAAATCCAGCTTTTATGTCAAATCTGTTATCCTCTCTCATATAGGGAAACACTAACATGTATTTATACTTTAAAAACAGAGTAGATTTCCGTCCCTAAGTCGATACAGTACTCCCGCTTTATCCGTGGTTCTTATAACCATTCTAACAACCATATCAGTGTTATAATCGTGGCTTTGAAGAACTATGAAGAAGTTTGGAGTAATCTCGATCATCCCGACCCTGAAAAATGTTTCTTCTACATGATCATTTGGTCTCTCCACACTGCACACTAACAGTATTCATTCGGTACAAGGATATATATATATGGATTATACTGGAGCGTATTTCGTGAAAAACACGTCTAAAGAAATCGTGAGAATGATTCAATATCCTTCAGACAATATCTTATTTCCGTAAAATGACAAAATGCACTGACAGGCTGTTGACTTATCTATGGGAACTAACAACTGTTGCATTAGGGCAGCTTCGTTTTTTCGCGGCGACAAAACGAGAGAAAAAAAAAAACACACACACACACACAGAAAAAAGTAAACTCCTCAAAATAGGTGCTGTAACAAAGGTCCTGCCAAGTCCTTCAACTAAACTTTAGATAACTAGAATAATTTCCAGAGATTTCAAACCTAGATGGTAACCAATTCTTTTTTTCTAGAATGTCGCAATCAAGACTGGTTCACGGTATCAAATGCGCTACTACTATAGAGGAAATAGAAATACATTTGGATTTAACGTCCAAACATAATTGTACAAATATTGCTTATGAGATCAAGGAGCAAACTGCAGCATACAATATTCCTCCTAAAGGTGTCGCCGATGAAGCAAAAGACGCACACTCTTTTGGCATCCTGGTCTTCTTTTCATTTTACTTTGTCTGGAGTATCAGCGTATTTATCACTCTTGTTTTTATTTTTCTATCCTATCTTTGTTGAATTTGAGTTTGAATTAAGATTATATTGACATGTTGCCATATTCTTTATTCTCTCATATGTTAAGTGTACAAGAAAGGAAGATGGTCTTTTCAAAAATATTAATGTTACATCGACTGTAGCGATAGGAAATGAAAATTAAGTGATCAAATAACAAAGAAAATCCTTAAATCACAAAATAATGGACTGCTTTATGTAGGTCAATAAGTAATAACGATTGAAAAGTCACAAATTAATTCCAATACAATCCTTAAAACCATTTATTCTTTTGTTGTTAAAATTCTGGTTTTTAGACGACATTTCGGATTTTCGTTTTATGGTCAACGAAATGACATACCTACTCAGGGTTGGATATTTGGACAAGCGCTTTCACTCGGATCGTCCATTTTTGATTAGTGTTGGTCCTAAGGATTATCGCTCCAGAGGGAAAGAACAATTTCATTTCACTTCTGTAATCATTTTCTTCATCATCGTATTGTTTTCGTTCATTTGTTCTGTCAGGGCAAAGTTTAGCTCGGCAGATATCCAGCAAAGTTGTTCATAAATTCGATAGAATTATGACGATCTATCCGGCATACTCTGGTAGATATTTCATGGTTTTATTCGTCATTCGGAACATCTCGTCATTGGAAGTAATGTTTTTTTTTACGAAAAACTCGGATTCGGGTGTCCTTGGTGCCGTGATACAGGGCCATTATTGTCAGCATGTTTTTCGGAACGATCTGTGAAAATATGAAATTATATCTCATAGAAAATGGAAAACTTCCATCATGTAAAGGGATATCTATCAAACAATCCATTCGGAGTTTATTTCACTGAAAACATTTAGTTTACACTTTTTATTGTCTAATAAAGATACCAATAAAGTAATGAATACAAAGTAAGGGGTTCTAACATAAGTACTAAATACTAATTGGTGAATACTGCGGCGAGTATAACAAAGGAAAAGGAACCAGATGAAGGAGGACCGGAGGAGGAAAGACGTATCAGTAAAAGAAAAGGCCTTCTTTCAAAATATTAATAATGAGTAACTGCATTATTGGAACAAACAATAGGTCTTCGACTGATGGACAAGTTGTGATCCTTGTATTGGAGAAGTTGAATAGGGATGTCCTTTTTCAGCTCTACGAAAGAGGTGGCGCTCTAAAGTAAACAAGGCAAGTGACTTGTAAAATGGACAAAATCGCTGAAAGAGCGGTGATTCAATATTTGCAAAAAAGGTATATCACTGAAACCCATACTGATATATGGTAGCGACTCTAGGAAATGATTGAGGCTTTGATTTGAATGGGCATCATCTGATCTCGCTCAATCAGACTTTCATTTATTTCCAAAATTAGAAAAGGCAATTTCCGGTACCCACTTGATGACGTCATACATGCAGTGAAGAACTGTCTGAACGGTCAAGAAAATGGCTTCTTTAAAAGTGGCATTGAGGCCCTTAAACACCGCCGAAGAAGATTTTGTTGAAAAATAATGCAATATGTCCGCCAAAAGTCAAATCCTTAAATATGAGACTGACAACTTATCAATCAGACCTTGTAGCTTTACGTCGCTCCTGACAAGGCACGTTGTGATATTTGAATAACCACGTTTATTGGTCTTCATCCTGATATTGTTAGAGATATATTTTTGGAGAGGACGATAATCATTTCTTGTCTTTTGTTCAAGACTACAGCATTTTTGTAGAGAAAGCTTCTCATCTAACCTTCCAGTAAATATGTTGGCGTACTTTTTTATTTTGTATCATACTAATTATGGATATGAAGTGTATTACAGTTACGCCTTTTGTTAAGCTTATATTTGTCAGTCAACTTTATTTTATCATTTTTTTTCTTATACTTGATGTACAAATGTATCTCTATAACATGTATTTCATTTAACTCTTCATGCTTACAGGAATAAAGATATGAAAAATAGAAAGAAAGAAAAATAAAGAAAGAAAACAAAAAAACAAAAAACAAAAACAAACAAATACCCCCACCCCAGCAAAAAAAAACAAAAAAACAAAACCAAAACAAACAAATACCCCCACCCCAGCAAAAAAAAACAAAAAAACAAAACAAAAAACCCCCAAAATAACCAAAAATCAACAACGAAAAAAAAACCAATAGAATACCGGAACAGTTGTATGCTACATATCATTTCGACATCCTCTGTAAAATGTTTCTCGTTCTTGGACAATCGTGGTTAGTTTCAATTTGTATCTCAAAGACATATACACATAACTTACCGTTATCGTTGTCTCCTTCCTCAGGCTCTGACTCTTTATCTTTCTTTCTGTATCTATAAGAACACCAGAAACCAACGATGATTACGATGAGGACGACGGCAACGCTGACGCTAAAGACGACGACATAAGTCACGTTCACATCACTGCAAAATAATAATTAGAGCTGACTTATTGATCTGTTTATTTATTTTCCAAATTTTACTCTCCACATTAAGAATATGTCATGTATCTGTTCGAAAGATGGTACAAAAAATGACAGCGTGATCTTAGTCGACACATTTTCGCGCAGTATTAGCTTTCGAGGTGAACGTGGCAGTACTTGATCAGCGAAAATTATGATCACCAATTTGGTTTTGAATTTTTTTCGTGTATGACACAAGAAGTTCCAGAACTAGAACAGAGTCAAACATCTGTTTAATTGCAATCAAATATGATTTGGTAAAAAAAACGATTTCCAACAGCCGCGACTTGAAGGAGAGATCTGTAAGTACTTAGGATGCATTTACTTACTTAGGGGTCTTACAACAGAATTTGTAACTTAGGTCGGAGCAACAATCAGCTGGACATGTTTTAGTGCTGTAGAGGGTTGGATTCAGTCGGGCACGGCTGACCTCGCATTCTTTTCCTTCCACTTCCCAAGTGGGAATGAACAGCAGTAAAACTAAAATGGCAGATACTTTTCTTATCATTGGTGCGTTCAACGATTCAAATCATTGGCGCTCTTTGTGATTTACCTACA